TTTTTTCTCTTTGTATACTTAAAGATTTTTTGGGGATGTTTAGGTTAGAATACGTTTTATTTAAAATATTTTCACTTTTATTTGTATATATATATTCTCTAGTTCACTGCTACTAACAAGTAGAATTTTTTTCCCTTGATGATGACCATGCTGGGCGAAACTGTGAATCTAATTGAATTAACAAAAAAATACAATGTAGACCAATATATTATTATATTTCAAGTTACTTACCATTGCCTGAAGATCACAATCAATATATTGAAACATTAAGCATTTGTGTAGCAATACAAAATTATTTTATTATAATATATATATAATATATATATATATATATATATATATATATATATATATATATATATTAAACAGTATATTTAATTATTTCCATCTACCAGACTAAATATTCGAGAAATGTTAGAAACAAAATACGCACTCCGGCAGAGAACGCAGAATCCTGCTGGAGAGCGCATATTTTCGCATAGGATTTCTCGAATATTCAGATGGAAATATATATATATATATATATATATGTTTTTTTGTGAGCCTGTAAAATATTTTTTGGGTTAGAATTGATTGGAGTTATCATTATCTTCTCCATTTAAATTCGGTCTTATATCCTAATTTTTGTTGTTGCTATCATAACATTGTGCCCTCCGATATAATTATCTGGTTAACCCACAGAGAATTTCTGAACAGAACACTTTATTTAATTTAGGGTGTAGGCAGTACTTTTTACATTTTTTTCTCATCTCGTTCTTTCAGGGATTGATCTCTCAATTATAATATAACCAAATTCGCAAACCAACACTTATCCACTAGGCCATTGTCGCGTAGTTCAAGTAAATAACGTGGAGATCTAAACCTAACCTGGCTGGTGTTGTCATTTCTTTATTAACGACTCTCGTAGTGTAGTAATTTCTATAATAGCATTACTAATGAGGTCCTCAATAGCCCAGCATATGCGCTGATTCTTTCAAGCGTCTATCTAGTGTTCTACTTTGTCCATAAAAGTGTAGATATCTGCCCTTGGGGAACGAAGTGAAAATACTGTAATCAATGATGTAAAATTTTCTTTTTAATTTTCTAATCGTACACCAATTTGTAGATTGATGTAATAATTGCTGCTGATTTTAAGAATGACCAAGAATCTGTTGTTAACTGGGACAAGGAATGACAATTTAACGCTTCCAAAAGGAAACTTCTCTCTATCAATCACCTGAATGACCCCTTCTTGTCTCCCATCAGTTAGGCTGATAATAATCTCCATAGGAGTGATTCATCACGCCTTCCCAGGCTAACATCCTCGGCTGCCATGTAGTGGAAAGATTATATTGAATTCATTGCTAAGAATGCTGTTTTTGGGGGTTTTTTTTCTCCAGAATCTATCTTTCTATATTTCTGAGATGAGGTATTATGTATACTATTTACATTATTCGCACTACTGTCCTCATCTTTATCGCCATATTTATCACAACCTTTCGGCCTTTCAGTATCTGTCTATATTTCTGAGATGAGGTATTATGTACACTATTTACATTATTCGGACTATTGTCCTCAGCTTTGTCGGCATATTTATTACAACGTTTCGGCCTTTTAGTATCTGTCGATATTTCTTGGATGAGGTATTATGTACACTATTCATATTATTCGGACTATTGTCGTCATCTTTGTCGCCACATTTACTACAACGTTTCGGCATTTAAGTATCTGTCTATATTTCTTAGATGAGGTATTATGTACACTATTTACATTATTCGGACTATTGTCCTCATCTTTGTCGCCATATTTATTACAACATTTCGGCAGTTGTACGCTCCGGCCTTCTTCAGGTGGTTGTTTCCAGCCACCCGAAGAAAGCCGGAGCGTACAACAGCAGAAAATAAATATGGCGACAAAGATGAGGACAATAGTCCGAATAATGTAAATAGTGTAGAATCTATCTTACATACTTATAAGTCTGCTATTCGTCTATTCTTTGAATATTGCTTCCACATATGGTCTGGCGTTCCTCTAGAGATTCTCGACGAAACCCAATAAAGAATCAGCAATATTATTAGTCCTGATCTTGTATCATGATTTCAGTTAATTTCTCACC